TAGCGCCATTGTCGCGCACTTACGAGCCGCGATAACGGAACATATTCCTTCTAGTCTTCTATCTCCACCCACTGAATAGTTCTTCGACACGGCTTCTGCTGAGGGTGTTGCTTTAAGAACCCAATACGCCATAGGATGCAATGCATAAACGACCCATCACTAGCTCGGACAACTACGGACCATATGTGTTGTACATGGTGCATTCCATCCCATTTCACGAAGATTTCTATGTTCATATTATCATACCAACATGCTTCGTTAAAACTTAGCAAACAGTACATGTGCTCATGTGAAAAAGAAAATAGGAGGCGGCCGACACGGCTATTCTACTGTACATCTAGTTGGTCCTATAATCTATCCTCATTTGTGATTTCTGTTCATGCACTCATTCCCTTAACATGGCCAAGTTCAAGCTCATGAAGCTGGTATCGCAAAAAATTAGGCGTGATGTTAAATAGTATTGTTAAACCCATTCGCGACCGCGCAGGATTTTCAATCTGCCCGTTCGGACGAGCTTTGTTTGAGACGATCGCAAAGTGGCAGCTACCGGTGGGCCATCATTGTCCCTCGCGACCCTTTCTTGAAGTGAGGTGAAGTGGCAAAAATCAACAATTGGTGCTGAAACTTTTCCATTGAGGGCAACCGGTGGATGAAATGGTCCCAAGTGAGCATCTTCGCGTCAGCCACCGGTGGCTGCCATTGTCGCGAATGGGTTATAGACAGGAGACGTGCCAATATTGGTGGCAGGAGTGATTGCCTATGGAGCCTGAAACACCATATCTTCTTCGATGTTATTCGACACAGGAGCCAATATCCGGACTGACAATGAGCAGATTTGTTTTGCACAAAAGCCTCGCCCTTTCAAAGCTAGTTCTTAGGATGCGCCCCGTACGTGCGGGATAGCGCCGTCTTCGTCTGTTTACCCCACCTCGTTTATGTTCGATAATCAAGGGCTGTTAGCCGAAGGCATCGTTGCAAATCGAGCGTTTCGCGTAGCGAATCAAACTTTGCGCCAGCGAGTCGAACTATGTACCAGCGAGTCGAACGATGTACCAGCGACTCAATAGTGGCGGGACCCAACGTTCAAAGGAAGCCCGCCACTTTCAAACAGTGTCACGTGACAGTGGACACTGTTTGAAAGTGGCGGGCTTCCTTTGAACGTTGGGTCCGCCACTATTGAGTCGCTGGTACATAGTTCGACTCGCTGGTACATCGTCGACTTCGCTGGTGCAACGTTCGATTCGCTGGCGCAACGCTCGGATCCAGCGATTCGCTAGCGAATCGCTCGATTCGCAAACTATGACATCGGCTTACATTCCATAAAAACTATGCTTGACCTTGAACTTGGCACAAGTTGTGAAAAACACCTCCACCACTTCACATAATTTCTACATACTCAAACCGCACGCTTTATTAACCTGCCAGCTCCAGCGGCGGTGCGCATTTGACAAGCATTGGCCCGCCTGTAACAGAAACAAAGCAAAATTCTCCCGGATGAAACATTTTTTCCACTCGATAATTACCAACAAGACTTTTGGGAAAGAACTGCTTTACCGGAACGAAGCATGGTAACCAAAGCAAACTCAAAGGAGATATGGTATGTAGGTGGACGCTCTAGACTATGAGCATCTGACTTTAACTAGTTGAAGCATTATGCCCCCCTTGACTTCTTGGTATAGCAGGTTTTGAGTAAAAAAGGGTTGTTACTTACAATAAACAGATGAGGGTTACACTTACTTGTGAATCACTCTCGTCCACTCTTACTTACGGATTCGGATGCCTTCAAGAATGATTATTTACAACAGCTAACACGACGTCTTATCCTTCAACTCCTAGGGCCGTATGCAGCAGTACCCGGCCCGAATGGGTCCTCAAAACTCTACATCTCTGCACGCATCCCCCTATTCTCGACCATAAGCACTGCGTCGTTAGCAAGAGTACAGACGCGATGTTTTGAGGACCCATCCCGGCCGGCGGATATTGCTGTACCGGCTCTTGTGGTACACATGGGTGCCATGCCATTGCAACCTACCATGAGTGTACCAGCGGCAGCCAAAAGGTCTAATCAGGGTATAGCAAACCATAACATAGATCACAAACTAGTTGCGATTCTGTACGAGAAATTCAATGCGTGTGGTTGAGCAGGAATTTTCCATTCATTTGACTAATGACTTTTCGAATTCCTAATTCAATATTTTCAGCGCCTTTGATGTCATTCTAAAGCCCACAATCCCTCGGAATACGGAACATAACGCTTGAAAAATGCTTTAAATGGGGCTCTAAAAAGAGCAAAAAAAATTACTGATGTTCACGAGGACACGATATGCAACATAGTCGTGAGCTTCAATAATCTTTTCTGCTTGCGTGTTAGCTAAAAACTGGAACAAATATAAGCATTATTTATCAAAATGTGCAAAAGATTGCGCACCCACATCGAAGCCGCCCAATAGTGAAAGGAATGCGAAAACATTAGCTAAAAACAGCGGAAAACCACTGCTCAAAGCGCTCCTTCAAGCGGGGAAGTAGGAGTTTATTGAGTAATAAAAAATGATTTAAGTGAGTTTTGGACGATAATTAAGTAAAGAACGACCTAAATAAAGATTGGAAGCGCGTAAAACTCTATGTTCCGCGCTCAGTAGAGCACGAAACCTTGCCACGATACTACATCAAAACTAGTTCACTAATTATGAGACACAAGCAGATCAAGCCATTACAGACAGAGCAAACAAAATTAACTAAATAATCCACTTACTCGACGTCATATTGGGATAGAGCAGGTTACCGTACCCGAATCGAGGTAGATAGGTAGCATATGCTGCAATATAATTATTTTATCAGTTCAATGCAAGAGAACAAAGGGACCAAAAAATGTTAATCTAAAATTGTTCCAGGTAATGCCATGAAAATTGTAGCATACCCACTAAATATTGCAATACTTACCTAGCAGTTGCTCTGGTGGAAGCCCGTAAAGATTTCGCGCAGCAGCTGCACGCGATTTGTTCAGCTGAACTGGTAGCATTACCTGAAAAAATGTACCCAAATTACTTCAGACTGCACCCAAATGAATAAACTAATTGCACAACAGACCTTTTGAAAATTGATTGTTTTCCTTCTATTATTTAGTTTTGCACGATCTATCTTAACCCTTTCAAACAAGTAAAAAGCTTGGCATGATACAGGGCTTTAGTATGCGCCATGCATCCGTCCATTACGAGAGTCGTGAAGGCGATCGAAAGCGCATTCGGTCGATTCATTGGCCGAGGGAGTGAACAAAAGCTCGAGTAACTTTTTAGGTTCTTTGATGGAACAATTACCAAGACTTATTATCAACTATCC